CTCAGATTGTTTGGCTCTGATACCATTTGTTAGGAAACTGGTTGTCAACAGCAGCTAGGAAACAGCTTTTGGTTAAGTTTTTGAGGAGATTTTAGTGCTGGAGGCAGAAAAGAGAGATCAGCAGAGGAAGAAAAGATTGGAGAAAGAGACAGTTGAGAGGATAGAAGAAGAATAATATTAAAGAGGAAAAGATAAGTTTTTAAAGATATTTTCTTGATGATTCTTCTACAAATCTGTTACTATATATAGCAGTACTAGAGAGAACAAAACAAAAAATAACAAACTAGGTACCAGGCACAATGATAGCTGACATCCCATTTGTCCTAGTATTGATATTCTTTTAAAATTATATTAATAACAGAAAACCCAAGAAGAATAGCAGAAACTATATCCATTGCATTCTCAGATCCTCACAACTAATACTAATGTTATGACTAGGAAGCTAATATCTAATTCTGAAATACTCATTAGAAAAGTAAAATAAGTCCCAACTCCTAACAAAATTCAAGTTAAAACACACCTGAACTAATTCTGCAAGTTAGGAGACCTAGACTAAATCAGCAAATCTGTAACTCGTACTTAAACTACCAAAATAACACTAAATCAGCAAATCTTTAATGCTAAAATTATTTTTCTAAAAGATATTTGCTCCATCATTACTCTTGATCTTTGAATTGTAACAAATTTCAGGAGAAAGAACAAACTCTATGAAGTCTTGGACTTTGGAGGATATCATTGATATTAATTCTATTCAAAAAAGCAGTCTATATAAGAACTCCAATCTTAGAGGGAAGCTTCACCTTCCAAAACGTATGGGACAAAGCATTGATATTGGTGTTAGGGTTGCATATGCAGAAAGGGATTTACAAGTGTAAATACTTGAAGGCTCAAGGCTCCAAGTACGACAGACAAGTGCCAGAGCTGGACTAAAACCAATGAGAAGGTTAATTACATCAAGCGAAGTTGTCTCTCAAAACAAAAAAAAAAAAGAGACATCAAGTCAAGGACTTTACTTTTCTGAATAAAAACACCTCTCTCCTCCTTCCCCGTTCCCCATTAGGCCTGCCATATATGGTTACTAGGTAATTATGCAGACTACACAGTATACTAGGATAAATACAAGAAACTAAATTCATAAAAACCTGAAACAAAACATGCTAAAAAATGGAAATAAACTAAGCATCAGCTTGCCAATGTATCAGTCTTCTTGCAGCCCTGTGTTATGCGCAGAAAGACTGGGCTGTTGGAAGGAACCACCTTTGCTATACTATCCTTGCTGACACGGACTGATTGTGAGTCCATAACAGTTATCTAAACCTACTAGAATAGATTCTTTTGTGAACTTGATCATCTTGGTGTGACCAATGCTATAATGGAGCTTGACATTTATACAAGAGAACAATTTGTTAATTATACTGACCTTTCATTACCAGTGAAGATAGAAAGTTAAGATGTTTCTCAACATTATTCTTCAATTCAGTTGAAATAAATCATGAAACTTCTCAATTCACTTTGGAAGAGTTTGAAGAACACTGGAGGAAAGAATGACTCACAAACCTTCTTGGCATCTATTTGGCTCTCCAGAACTCGGGGTGATAAGGTCCTTGCTAATGAAGTGGATCTTGACCAGTCAAATAGTGAAGCTTGACCTCTAAGGATCCGCCTCAGGTGCTCCTGGTCATAAAAGTTTCCAATGAATGAAACTACTTCTGCTAAAGAATAAAATTAACGAGCACCTAAGAAAAATAGATGGATGTAAAGGAGAGGAATTAGAAAGTTGCAAAAGTTAAAGAAAACTTCCAGGTTTAACTCGGTGGAACAAAACATGATAAACCATTACTTCATTGAGATATAACAGGCTCAATTCTATAAGAGCAATAAATATGTTGCATTCAACTCAAGAAAGCTTCGGGAGAGGCACATGGTAAGTTCACATGCAAATAATAAAGTGTCAAAGACTGCCACTACAAAAGAGCTTCAGTTTTGGAAGAACTAACCAGCAAATGTGAGAAGTCAAGTTCTTTGTGTGTGACTGAAAATTCTATATCAAATGGTGCAATCTGGAGGATCAAATTTGGAGTTAAAAAGGACATGTAAAGACTAATATAGGAAACAACCTAAAAAAATAAAATATAAAATATAAAAAAAAGAGAGAAAGGAACAGAGGAACATAACTTGTTCCCTGAGGATTAAAAGATGCTTGATAAGAAAAAGCTGTCCATCCATTGGACTTGACCTCTTTGCAATGAGTTTACTTGCTTTCTGCACCAAATTTGGAAATGGGAAAAGGAGAAAAACCAATTATCAATAAGCAGCATGTTACATGAAAATTTGGCAGCACACTAAATGTTGGCCAATAAGAAGCCATCTAGTTCAAGCCACCGCCTAGATCCCAGCCAGTACATTAGCATTCAGAAAAATGCCATTATGTCATGAGGAATGAAACGTAAACTCAAAAAGTGTATATGTTGCACAAAAAATATGCTATTAGTGAAACTAAAATATTTAGCTAGGTGATTCTTGTTTAGCCTCTTACCTGGATAGAATCAGAGCAAACTTCTACTGCTTCCTGTTAAAAAGCAAAAGATACTTGAAAAAATACAAGCATGGGTAATAGACAAAACCTTCTGAAATTGTAATCATTTGAATATTCCATTCACCTGCGCTAAGCCAGTGAATACCCCAGGCTCTAAACAGTGATACAACTTTGAAAGACAAGAGAGAGTTTTCTCCAGCGGAGGATACCAAGTCTTGAATACATCGGAGCTTTCATCATCCTAAATGTTGAGAAGTCAAGATATCAGAAACAGCAAGAGATATTGGAAAACCACGTAAATATATCATGGTACATGACATTCAAGAAATTATAATTGTATAGACTATCAAGTGCATTTGTGCCACCTTATGTGATTACCAAGCAAGTGTTTCATTGAAAGAACAGACTAATTTTTTGTGAACCTTCTATTAATGCTATGCTGCATTCGAGGTGCATCCTTCTTTGTTTCCAAATAGTTTCCGGTCTTAAAATAAACATGAGGAAGACAGAAGTGGTTAGCATTGGTGATAGAAGGGATGAGGAGAGTTTGGCTTTGGTGTTGGGGTGTAAGACAACAACACTTCCAATTAAATATTTAGGCTTACCACTTGTGGCAAAATTTAAAGATATGAAAATTTGGGAGTCTATTGTGGAGATGTTTGAGAAAATGTTGGCAGGGAGGAAGAGGAGTTTTCTTTCTAAAGGGGGTAGACTTACTTTGATAAAAAGATCGTAGTCAAAATTTACCTATATACTACTCTCTATATTAATCATCCGGGTCAGCATTGCAAATAAGCTTGAAAGCATCCAATACAGATTTCTTTGGGGTGAGGAGAAGGGGAATAGAAAATACATTTGCTTAGAGGGAGGAGGTGAAGAAACTGTTAAGGGAGGAGGGGGCTGGATTGAAGTTCTATTAGGGAGTTTAACCGTGCTCTTCATAGGAAATGGTTATGGAGATTTCTTACGGAGGAGGGGAGGCTGTGGAGAAAGGTGGTGCAGGCAAGATGGGGGGGATTGGAAAAAGGAGAGAGGTAAGAGGGGTAGATTCAAACCGCACGGCATGAGCCTTTGGAAAAAAATTAGAGATAACAGCTTTTCCTTCATGGGATGTGTTGGGTGGCAATTAGGAAATGGGGTGGATTCATTTTTGGCATGTTGAATGGGTGGGAACTTTAAGCTTAAAGACCGCTTTTCCAGAATTTTTGACATAGCCAGTGATAAAGGAGGCTAAGGCGAAGGATATGTATGAAACGGTGGGGGAGGGGACGGTCTGGAATGTAAAAGTGATAAGAAATTTACAGGATTGAGAAATCAATGAGTATAGCAATCTGTTATGGCGCTTCGACAGTAATAAATTGAGTATTGACAGAGATAAGAGGGTGTGGAAGCTCGATGAGAAGAAGGGTTTTTCAATTCCTTGTACAAGTTCCTGCATAAGAGTGACAACAGCAACAACAGCAATATTGCACCCTTCATGCAGTTATGGAAGACTAGAGCACCTCCTAGAATGACATTTTTTACTTGGGAAGCTGCAAAGGAATGCATTTTAACTATTGATATGCTTAAGAGGAGAGGTAACACCATAGTTAACAGATGTTACCTATGCAAATCTGATGAAGAAACATGCAACCATTTCCTGTTGAGATGTCTGACGACTTATAGCATCTGAACTATTGTTTTGGGCTTGTTGGGGTGGAATTGAGTTATGGCTAATAATGTGAGTCGAGAGCTGTGGGCCTGGGCAAGCTTTTGTAAAAAAAAAGCATTTATTTCTTATTCTACTAACTATTTTTTGGATTGTGCGGAAGGAAAGACAGGAGATTAAATCTCATAGAGTTCAATTCCTGTTCTCAACCGATGACCAATATGAACTCAAAGTTTCCTTCATAACCCCCAGAACTTCTTCGTAGTGGATCCATTCCATACCTCATTTCACAGGAAACCTCAAAGTAGCTCTATTTCATTATAATTATATTTCATCCATACCTCAATTTTATTTATTTAATATTCATTTGGTCTCTTTCTACTTCTGCATATGGAAAGTTAAAAAATTATCATATCTTAGTCCAGAAATTGAAATAGAAAAGAAAAAAATGGAGCTTTATAATGATTTTTAAATCTTTTATCTAGGTAATCTAGTATCTTTATGCATGAAGATAAAGAAATTTGAAAGTTTTTTAGAATATTAAGACTAACTTTACACATATTAAAGATAGCTGGATACCTACTTTTGGTTCTATTTTGTAAGTCATGACATCAAAAATAGGGAAGATTTTGGGATTGTCATGAACTACTTGATTGACTTATAACTAAATTATGTATATGGGTGGTACCCCCTTGGTACCTACGTGCATAATAATATTTCTCTTATATTTCAAAAAAAAATATTCATTTCACACTAGAAGATACCCTACAAATTCCTTAATGCTATTTCTTGTACTACATGGACATCCTTCACTATTCCAAGGACTAAAAGGAGCAATGCAAATAAATAATCGCATGGTTTGAAAGAAACAAAAAAGAATTCTTCTGGAACAGCATAAAGATTGAAATTTATAAGTTTGATCATCTAAACAAGACAGAAAAGACTAGAAGGGCTAATATACAGTACAGTGGTAGTTTCTGATTTTGTCTCAGCAGATTGCTCCAGCTTGGCAGGGTAATCCAAGTCTTCATCAAATGGAATATAATTTGCAATCTGCAAAAGAAAGAAGACTATTTAAGATAAAGCCAGTGGATGGTACATCTGGTCAAGATGAATGCTTGATTGTATGCTACTCTTTTAACCCAAAATAAAGATAGATTGACTATGCAGATTCTTTCAACTTCAACAGACATAACAGGTTGACATTAAGAAAGTAGAATATATAAAGAGACAAATTACATGTTGTAAGATGTAGTTAGTTGTTGAATAGAAACTTTTTCAACTCATATAAAGACAGAATTTGGACTGACAAATCTAGGGAAAATCTTCTGCCCTGATCCCTCTAGCTAGTCTGTTGGCCGTATGGCAAGAGGACAGAAGAATTTTCAGGGCATTTACTTTCCTTTTGATACAATAGAAATCACTGGTTGCAGACCACATGTAGTTTACACAAGGATCTTCCTCATGATTGAATAATTAAAGAAACCTTCTAGATTTGGCCGAATCTATTTTATACATGAATGGCACTCCCTTGGTACCTTCAATAACATTTCTTCTCTATACATATATATGAAATAGGAAACCTTTATGTTCCAGTCATGATGTTTCAACTTCTTAATATACCAGAAACAATAGTAAAGTAAAGAAATATCATCAAAATCTACTCAAAATTTAGTACTTTTAGTTGCAACCTTTTTTTTTAAATAAAAAGTATAGTATGAAAAAAAAAAGTACTTTTAGTTGCAACCTATTTACCAATAGATTTCATTGACCTCATTTCGATTATAAAAGATGATTCAAGATTTCCATTCACTATATCCGTTGACTTTTCCATCAATAATTGACAAGCTACAGTGCTATAAGGACATCAAAGATCCAGCATCTAACATACAGGAAATTCAGAACAAATACAGACAAAAGAGAAAGTGGATTCCCAGATATTTTCAGAGTAATATATAAAGTCGAGATAATGAAAAACAATTTTCTTATGGCATAAGATGATAACATCTTGAACCACTGGACAAGAGTCCAATAGGTTACCACCTTATCTCTCCACACAGAGATTGAGGGTTTAAACCAGCCGGGAGCATCCAGCATTACATGCTACCCAAAAGAAAAAAAAAGAAAAAACCAACTTGTGGCCATGCAATGAAAAAATAAGGATAAATTACAGTTTCACCCGCTATGTTTTGAAAAGTTGCAAATCAAACCTTGTGATATTTTGGTGTCAGTTTAATACTTTTTAGTTTGTTCTTTCCCATTTTACATAAAACTGTTAGCTTTTAAAGGATATTCATGAATGTTTGAATAGCAATGACACATCAGAAAAAAAAACGTGGTTGAAACTGCAACAAGACCAAAAGTCCAAGGGTCGTATTGTAATTTTCTCAAAGTTAATCCATTACTGAAAGAAAAACCTACAAAAAGAAAATATGGCAAAAAAAGATGGAAAACATTAAATACACACTATTCAAGTATAAAAAGCACACCTCGTCACGAATATGAGTTCGAGCACGAAAAGTTAACCGCTCGTGAATGTCTGCCAGAATTCTTTGCAGTGTTGGACACAGACCAGCCAGAGATTCAGTCTGTCTACTGAGCTGTTCTCCTAAGACTTCAACTTTAAGAATATGAACAAGTTCACAAAGAAGATCAACATTTGTTTCATGGATTAGTTTTGGCCGCAATGTATCGTACAAATATGTAGACCTGAAAAGATGCACAAGTAAAATCAATGGATTTGACAAGGAGCTTCACCTGCATGTCCGCATATATATTTCTTGTAAAAGCTCAGACTAAAAACTGACATGAATGCAAATCCCTATTATACCTTAAAAGTCTGCCAAATTACATGCAACATGGGGTCAAATATAAGAAACCAAAGATGACAAATTAAAACATAAAGTACTCCATTTTGCACATTTCCACATCTTTGGGGAAGTTTGCAAAATTTCCCATCATAAACTATAAACAATTTGAACAATTAAAATAATCAGTTTTTTGTATTCATGCCAGAGCAGAGAAAACATTTTGAGCGATTACCATTGGTATCACTAACTCATTACCTTATCATCCATTTTTTTAAATAAAAATAGTATAGTATGTATTCATTTACAAGAATCAATATAGTGTAAACCTATATACAAAATATTTACATATCAATCAAAATGTCAATAAAGTCCTTATGGTGCATAGCAACTATAGGTTTTTATTTATTGTTGGAGTATTTTCATTTTATTATTTAAGAGTCTTAGAGTTAGGAGTTTCTTTTTTTAGTATTAGTTTTTATTTGTATTAACATTAGTATTCTTAGTATTATTATTATTAGTTTCTCATTCTTATCAGGATTAGTATCCCTAATTCTACTAGTTTACTATTTCTTATTTTATTCTATTTGGAAAAGATAAATAAAAATAGTTTTATAATTTCACTTGTTGATCATTTAAGTATGCAATAATATTTTTTAAGAATTTCTCATAATTGATTGTGTGATTCAATCAGCTGGTTTTGGCTTGCCCCTTGTATAGGTTGGAGCTATGAAGCTTACCTTATTATGCAAGAAAGGGGAAAAGGGCTTTTTCAGCTTGCTGCTCGCTTTCTTGCTTCCGATAGGCGAAGGTGTGATGCCTAAGACCCTAGGTGTAATATCTAAGTTTCTTTTTCTCCCAATTTCTTAGTAGACAAATTAACCTTAATTTGTCCTACATCAATTTGGTGCCAAAATTAAAAGTATCTGATACCCAGATTCTCAAAACCCTACACCCAAAACAGTCCCCAAACCGGTCTTAAAAAAAATAAAAATAAAAGCCCTAAAGCAGTTAGCCAGTATTGTTCACCAACCACCTGCTGGAGGTGGTCAACCTGCTACCACCATCAGCTCCAGAAAGGTCTGATCTGCAAATCCTCAAAGCCCCACCGTGAAACTCGTCTGCAGGAGCTCCCATAGTTGTTGCCTCTTTCGAATCCGCACTTGTGCACGATCGCATCTTACACCAACCTAAAGTCTAAGTTCAGCATCTCCAGTTGAGCCACCTGCCAAATAGCCACTGGTATGACATTGTGCACAGCTCAAGTAGGTCCTCTAATTCAAAATTCACATATGGCTCAAGCAGTCCATCCTACTCAAGGACATGTTGAGGATAAAGCTGGAGACATTACAAAGAAGGTAAATGTTGAAGCCTCAGATTTTGACTGAAGAAGGATCCTGATTTCTTTTTTGATTGGCTTAATTCAACAAAAGAATATTTCAACTGGTATGACATGTTAGATGCATGAAGAGTTAGATTTGCCAAGATAAAGTTGGTTGGACTTGCAAAAAATATCAGTACACTATTGATGAAAATATAACAAGGAGATAACCAACAATTGAAACATTGGGTGAGATGAAAACTAGTCTTCGAGGAAAAGTATCTACCTCCGGACTACTTCGATAAACTTTGTAACCAAGGTCACACTTTAGTGCAGGGCAACATATCGGTAACTGAGTATATATAGAAGTTTGAAGAATTAAAATTCTAAGTCAATTAGTTGAAGGTGATAGTCAAGCAACATCTCAATTCAAGGCAGGAATAAGAGTTGATATTAAAAGAGAGTTAATTCGACAATCTCCAGCAATTAGAGCACAAACTTATCATACTGCTTTGGATATAGAAGATTACTTGCAATATCCAACTTCAAATGAACTTGAACCCCACCTTCAGAAAGAACTTTGGAACAAATTATGATGTACGAGCAGGTTCTGCACAACAAACTTCACCTCGAAAAAAATCAGTCCCCAGTAAAAGTGGCAAAGAAATCGTTTGCTTCAGGTTATATGCATGTAATGTACACCATAATGGAAAGGAAAACACATATTCCTTTTCCATGAGCACAGAAGATATTAGAAACTTCAAAACCAAGAAGACTGCAAAGTTTACAATATCTTATCAAAAGAGACAACATCTTTTGTCAAGAAAGCAATTTGAAGTGGAAAGCAAAGAGTCAAAAGTTGTTTATGCTATATAAGTTGGGAGGTAAAGGAGCCAATAGCTTGTTCAACAAAAACAACACCACTATAAGTGACTAGGCTACTGTCTGACTTTTCTGATATTGCTCTACTAAACTTGCCAAATGAACTTCCTCCACTTCATAGCATTCAACATGCAATTGACTTATATCAACTGTTACTTACGTAAAATGGAAGCAGAATCTTGTAACCACTTGCTACTGTGGTGCTCGGTGGTATATCAACTGTGGTCCTTGATTTATGGCCTACTGGGAATAAAGTGGGTAATGGCCAGATCAGTGAGTGATGAATTATGGGCATGGACTGGGCTAGGTAAAAAGAAAAAATATTCAATGATTATTCCTATTATTTTCTTTTAAATTTTTTGGAAAGATATGAATGCTAGAGCTTTTGAGAGGGTTGAAAAAGATTTTTCTAATATTAGGAATAGATGGATATACACTTTTGGATCTATTTTTTTAGATCATGACATCAATAAATTTGATGATATAGACAATGTCATGGATCATTTGATTGGGCTGGGAATGAGATGTAAATGGGCGGTACTCCCTTGATGCTTATAAATTTACAATACTTTTATTTCAAAAAAAAAAAACATGCAATTGGCTTAGTTCTGGGATCTCAATTGCTTAATTACCAGCAAACCGTATGAATCCATGTACTGTGCCAGCATTATTCACACCCAAGAAAGATGGAACTTGGAGGATACGTGATAGAAACCCAATCAACACGATTACCATCAAGTATAGGTTTCCCATACCTCATCCTGATGACATATTGGACCTCATGGCAGGCTCGACATACTTTTTCTAGATAGATTTTGAAGCGTGGATATCACTAAATCCCCATGAGGCTAGGAGATGAATGGATTAACAATATTCAAACCAAAATATACCTTGTATGAGCAGTTAGTCATGCCATTCGAACTGTCTAATGTCCCAAGTACCTTCATGGGTTACATGAATCAAGTTTTCCAAGCTTTTAACGGGAGATTCTTAGTGTCTATTTTCATGATATTCTTATATTCAATAAGTTTAAAGAGGAATAAATCTTTCATTTACAACAATTATGAGAATACTCTCCAAGAAAAACTCTATTAACCTAAAAAATCCACATTCATGACAACCAGTGTTATGTTCTTGAGATTTCTCATCTCTTCAAAAAGAGTAAAAGCTGATCCAGACGAGGTTAAAGCTATCCAGGAATGGCCAATCCCCAAGACTTTACATTAAGTGCGAAGCTTCCACAAGTTGGCATTTGTTTACAGAAGATTTATTGAAGGCTTTAGCACTATAATAAGACCCATTACAAACTGCATGAAGAATGGAAAATTCATTTGGACTGAAACAATGTCTATAGCTTTTGAGATCATCAAGAAGAAATATACAGAAGCACCAGTGTTACGTCTTCCAGACTTCTCCAAGGTATTTGAAGTGGCTTGTAATATGTCTCAAGTAGATATCAGTAGCGTACTTAGTCAAGAAGGACATTCAATAGCGTACTTTAGTAAGAAGGTTAATAATGCAAAATAAAGACATCACATAGAATGAAGAATTTTATGGCATCATCCAAGCATTTTGGCACTAGTGTTATTATCTACTCTAAGAAGAGTTTGTCCTTTACTCTGACCACGGACTCTTAAATATATCAATTCTCAGATGAACTATAGCCACTCGCATGCAAGATGGGTAGCCTTCCTGCAAGAGTGCACTTTTGTAATCAAACATAGGCAAGGGGGTAGAGAATCAAGCAGCAGAAGCATTAAGACAAAAGACCATTATACTCACCTCCATGGCTATCCAAGCGGTGAGATTTGACTTGGTTAAAACAAGTTATTCATTCTCAAGGATTTTGGCATAATTTATCAAGACTTGGTGGGAAGTGTAATCCTGATTTTTCAATGCACAATGGATACCTATTTAAAGGAACTCTGTCTTTGTCTACCTAACACATTTCTCCATCTAGAAGTTACACTGGAATTGCATCCAGAAGGTATAGTTGGTCATTTCTGAAGAGATAAAGCAATTACTATGGTGGAAGATTGATTTTATTGGCCATACAAAGAGATGTAGCTCAAACAGATGCTAGGTGTCATGTTTGTCAAATCTACAAAGGAAAAAAGCATAATACTAGTCTATACACACCACTACCTGTATCCCATGAGCCATGTATAGATATAAGCATGGACTTTCTACTTGGTTTGCCAAAAACCACTAGAAGCCATGATTTGACATTTGTAGTAGTAGATCTGTTTTCTAAAATGGCTCATTTCATGTCATTGTTTCTGATCGTGATACAAAATTTGTAGGTTACTTTTGGTGTACCTTGTGGAAAATGTTGCACACTCAACTCAAGTATTCTACACCTTTTCAGCCACAAACTCAAGTTATCAATATGAGCTTGGGAGACCACCTTTGATGTTGTGTGCGAGATCATGTTACCAACTGGGATCTTGTTCTTCCCATTACTGACTTTGCTTACAATAGTTCAGTAAACCAAAGCACTTGGAATCAATCCTTTTGACTGCAATACGGGCATACAACCAAGGAAACCTATTTATTTGGTTCCTTTACCACTGGATGTTCGTCCTAGCATTGAGGCAGAAGATTATTTTCTATTTTGGATTAGTATTCTTAATATTATTAGTATTATTTTTTTACTCTTACTAGGGTTAGTATCCTTAATTTTACTAGTTTACTATTTCCAACCTTAGTTATAGTTAGAAAAAGATTATTATGGATAACTTTCTAATTTCACTTATTGATCGTTCAAGTAATCAATAATATTTTTGGAGAATTTCTCATAACTGATTGTATGATTCAATCAACCCTTAGTGTGTGATGCTTAAGAACCCTATCTTTGATATCTAGATTTTTTTTTTTTTTAATTTTCTTAGTAGGTAAATTAAACCTAATTTATCCTATATCAGGTTCTCAAGATCCTCAAAAAAGTCAAGAGGACAGCACTTAATCAATATTATCCATTTAATTTGTTATTGCAGGGGAAAAAATTGTCAAAACGTGAGTCGAAAGAAACAATCTAGATATAATCCTATAAGAGAACTTACAAGGGATCTATTAATGGAGCCAAACTCGAAATATCTTCCAATGATGATGGGAAAAAATGACCAAAGAGTTGATGCTCAAGTTGACAGACCTGCAATTCATATCAACATAAAAGGAAAGGCATTAAAATCCGTGATTAATGTAATCAAACTATATTTTCAAGAAATGTTAAGGCCTTTACAGAATAAATCAATCAAGAAAATAACTAATGCCTCCCAAAAGCAACCCTTAAATGTCCTCCAATCAACTAAGCGGTCGGTCAGCAATACCTGCATTAAATATGCACATCCTGATCTAGTCAATGATGGCAAAGCCTCTCTCTTGGAAAATTCAGATATACGCTGGTGTACAATGCCTTTGACCTAGAAATAGTAAATGAAAGGTGCATATATTAGCACCGTATACCGACTAAAGGAGGTAAAGAAAATTTAACAAGAACAAAAAGAGAGGAAAGATGTAGATTCACCAAAGAAAGCCTCTGTTCACAATACAGCTTATGACATTCTGCAAGTACTTGTGCATATTCTTTCCTAGATGACCGGCTTTCAATTTCCTCCAACACTGGCTTAAGCTACAAATACTAAAAACTGTTAGATATCTCTCCCAAAGTTGATAACAGAAAAGCACCCAAATCCAACATGGAAAAAAATTGAGAAAAAAGCAGATTATCCAGTTTTCAAGCCCCCAGCCTACAGATTGTTGTAAAGATAATCTTAATCAGTCTTCAAATGACCTAAATGACAAATGGAAAAAAGAACGAAAATCAATTACCTCACTTGCAGCAGCCTTGAAGCGAACATAAATTACAGATGCCTCTACACCCTCTGATACAGATGCTTTGCTGCCACCACTACTCCGGATTGTTGCCTGGACCTAATGATGGAAACGATGTGCATATCATAGAGTACTATTGTATCAATTTACATAAGAACGTGGGTGTGTTTAGCAAATTTAGCAATAATGGTAAATTTGTATGAATTTATTCATCCAAAGCAGGGAACCTCACCTGAGAGGAGGCCCTTTTAAGAACAGAAAGTACATGAGATCGGATCATACCCAGAGCTCGAGACTGTTGAACATGGAGATCGTTTCAGATTTTTTTAAGGAAACAAAAAGGGAAAATTCAAAACTGAGGCTAGCAGTTAGTTCCTTTATCTCCACACACATGAAAATTAATATTTATTCACCTAATCAACCATATTATACCCATTAATAATAAACCATTACCATACACATAAATTATTAACATGCTGAGTACCTGGAGCTGCCGAAACTTAAGCAAATATATGCTGGATTCTGCATACTGAGGATTGCTCATAACATACCTACAATAAGAACCAAAACATGATGACAATGATGATTTTAACAAGAAATAGGTTAACAATAGTCACCATCACCAAAAAGATCTTAATAGCACCAGTAATGACTAATAAGGAAGAAACGGACTTGAATGAACATATATTGGCAGAAAGATGAGTTCCAGAGTTGTTAATGAATATTTATTGTTAGATAAGAATTGAAATTAGAAAAAAAAATGTGAACAGTAAATAAAGAAACATTCACTTACGATATGCACTCATCAAGTCGTTTGAGAAGTGGAAGAAAATTTGCATTACCAACATTCATGTTTGGAGAATAAAAATTGGATGAAATCTGCACAGATATGTAAAATTAGATAATTTAAAGTGTTATTATAAAAAGAAGAATGCAAAAGAAAAATGAAGAATAACTAAATGTGCTAGGTTGGTTGATGCTTTTGGGGCACAGTGGTTCTCTCCACTTCTCTTGATTGTTTTATCTCTTCTGCTCTAGTTTTAGGAAGAACATGAACAAAAATTCTTTGAAGAGGATCTCTTTTAGTCGGTCATGGTTTTGTAGTTAGAGATAAAGTCTAACATTTTAAATACTAACTTTTACATCCCCCACTCCGTGGAATAGGATGACCATGTTGGCATCGTGCTCTAGGGTCACTTTTGGCTATTTTGCAAGCAGACTGAGCAGCAAGTTTCTATTGATTTCTACGTATGTTTTCTTACTTACTTCTTATTTCAAAAAGGAGAATAGGAAAAAAAAAACCCATTCTTGCTTACTTCTCTTTGCTTTTGTGGATTCTTATCCTCCATTGACGTATTTTTCTGTTCCCCGACTGTAATAAACTTTTGTATCCAAAGAAAAAAATTACTAAATAGAGACAGAAAAGGAAAATCTAAAAGTCTTATTATCTAGATGAAGCAAGACTAAAACAGGGAAGTTTCAAGTATGTCAATATAAATCTTATTATCTTGATGATGCAAGATACCAGTAGGGAAATGCTTCTCAGTATTAGAGATTCTAACTATGATCTACTTTTAACCTCTTTAAAAAAGTTAATCCACTTTCTAACACTACAGGGAAGATAATAATACACGTAAAATACGAAGATTTTTTTATTACTGTTAAGATTTGAATCTGAAAAACAAAACAATCCTCAACTCGCCCTTAATAGTTTTGGGCTCATGAAAAAGTGCAAGAGGGAACAGCAAGAATAAGGATGACAGATGTTGAATTCAAGAAGTTAAGGTTGATGAAGGAAATATTGTAACTTTCTTATATGTTAGAAAGGAAATTGCACAGGTATCTACAAGGATCTTTATGCCAAGGCCTATACTGGAAGATAACTACGTAGGAAATATATTCTATATTGTAACCCTCACCGTCAAGCCCTCCTCCTCAACCTGGAGCATATATACGCACCAAAACCTTTTACAAATGACTTCACATGAGCTCTTTGTAAGGACTTTGTAAACTTATTGGCTAATTGGTCTGCTAACTTCAAATCAGTAGTCGGAATCAAGTTTTCTAGGAGTTGGTTATAATAAAATGTTTCGTTGTTTCATGAAAAACCAGATTTAAACCTATTTGGGTCGTCGCCTGGCTTTCACATACCAGCTCTGTTTGTTGTGATTACAGAAAACCAAGTTCTTCATGAAGTAGATGTTTTAGCCACCAAATCAACTCGCACATAGTATAAGCCATAGATTTAGCAACAACAATCTGCTTCTTGCTCACCCAGGACACCATCTTACAACACATAAAGACACTTTAACCAATGATGGATCTATGATTAGAAGCAGAACCAGCCCATTTAGATTCTATCACGCCTAACTCATAAGTATTCACATGATTTTATTGAGTTATCCACAACCAATGCACCTTGAAGATATCTTAATATACTTACAACCACCCACCTTAATTTGTTTAAGGAAATATAGGACCAAGTCACACTTTAGTATGTCAGTAACATGACTTTTATATCAAAGAAGCAGCCCTACATGCTCAAGAATTGATCGGTTTCTTGTTTCTTATGACTGTCTCTTTTAGTTCTCAGGTTTGTGCCAAAAAATTTTACAGATAACAATTTCTGATTGCTTCCCAATATGCATTATTTCAGATGGCATACAAGGAGGTTCTGTCCCATTCAGACTTGACAACAAGTGGCTAAAGGTGGAGAATTTTCGAAGTATGGTGGAAAAAAGATGTAAGGATACTATTGTGAGTGGGAAGGCAAGTTTCAGGGTTGCTAAAAAACTCATAACCTTAGAAACTGAAATAAAGCAGCGGGTGAAGGATGAGGGAGTAAAAGAAGAAGAATGTACTAATAGATTATTACAGGAAACTTTGAATATAAATTATTAGGAAAAAGTTGTGACTTCTTCCAAATATCTAGGAATGTAATAAACATTATTTTAGGCTTGAATCTAATCACCATGATTTTAGGCTTTTTTATTTGTAGATTTATTTAAATAACTAAAAAATAGGAAGTTTCAAAATAAAAAAATCTAAAAGTAACCTAAGACAGGAAATGAGTTCAGTGCAATTCTCTATCATGTTTTCCTATTTTCTGCTTGCTGTTTGTTGGTCCCCCTTCAGTCTTTGCTTCCATGTTATCAACTATATACTTTCTCCACCATTCTAGGTCAAGTTCCTTGAAATTTTTTCTAATCTAATACAAATTTGTTTCCTTGCCTCCACAAGTCTTTGGTAGCGTTTTTTGTTCATCAATTGTAGCTAAGTGATGACAAGTTAGATCTAAAGCTTTGATGCAACAATGAAGAAAATATTGTAACTTCATTATATTTTGGGGAAAAAAATCTCTATACCAAGGAAGACTATAAACAGGAAACTTAACCATATAGAAAGTATATTAACAAAATTTATGACTACTACGGGCAAATGTCTATGTTTTCTGTTGAATTTCAAAATAAAGGTAACACTGCTTATTTCTAATAGATAAGATAATAGACCAGTATAACTTCAGACATAAACTGATCTCTGGCAAGAAAGCATTCAAACCTTACATTCTCCAATTCATCAAAATAGTTGAGCTTGCTGCGAAGGGCTTCTGCAAACTCAACCAGCTTTTGCTTCTCCATTAACTGCAATATAAAAAAGTGAGAAAACCAAATAAACTAAGTCTTGAATTCGATAGTAAGATATCCAGACAAAGGCAAGAAGTTAATTGATCTTAAGCACCAAATAAACAACTTATATCCCACACTACATGAAGAAAAAACTATGACCTAAAATACCATATAAAACTGATGACTTTTTTACTCAAATCTCTGGAGGCAATGATAAAAGAGTAGGATAATTTTCAGTCAACGCAACCTCTTAAACCTTCTAGGCCTACAGAACCAAAGTTAGTTCCCAATTTTTGGGTACAATAAATTTTTATTACCTACACTAGGCAGAATTTGCTTCCTGAACCTCCAAAAATGGAGACCAGGATGCAACCATGTGGCTAAAGCCAGATGGTTAGTTAATTCACAATTCTGGATAAATATTCATTGCCTGCTATATCCAAAGGCTGCATTTGTGATGGTTGGTAGGAGAGGGTAAGATCTCTTATTCTACTCTATTCAATGTTTATGAACCACAAATTAGTTGGGTGGGATAGTGCACTATCCAGCATAGGCTGGATAGTCTTTCTCACCTCGTCGAGAGTGAATAAGCACTAACTACTTGGATAGTGCACTAAAGTGATCATATTACCCTCCTTATTTATTTTTGTTCCAAATCTAACATTTATCCTAGTACTAATTAAAACATTGGTACCTCCATCTGTCACCACCATACACCATCAAAGCCCATTTACCAACATCTGTCACCGAAAAAGATCATGTACCACCAGAAAACACCTGTCCACACCATACAACACTGATTTGGCAGCCAGAAGGCTCCATCACAGCCATCTAGTCGCTCCTTTTTTTAATGTTAAAATAACTTACATTGGAAATATCATTTTATCTTTCTATTATTTTAATTATAATGTTATATTTTAAAAAACAGTTTGTTTGTAATAATTATTAATTATTAGTATGGAAACATATTAAGCAAAGGGTAATATAGTTATTTAAATTACCCTACCCATTCTCTTAATTATCCCAAACATAAAATAAACTCTTACCCTAGTCATAACTACCTTTTAGTCAAAACCTAGCCTTACCCTT